ATTCAGGCAGCAGCTATTTTATTGAGCACCTACACTGTGCTGGGCTTTGTTCTAGGATACAGGGATGAACAAAAACAGACAGTCCCTGCTCTCAGAGCTGACTCTCTGGAGGGGCCGACGTGAATCCAACAGTCCTCCTAATGAGTGCACGTTTATAAACTGGCATAAGAGCTCCCAAGAAGAGGAACATGGTTCTCTGAGGTCATTACAGAAAAGAATCTGATCTGGGTTGAGGGCCCAGCAGAGTTGACGAGTGAGCAGGAGTTGAACAGGTTTGGGGGTAGTGCAGACAGCCAAGGCAGAGGGAAGCAGTATATAGGCCTGAGGGAGAGTGGCAGGGCACATTTGTGCACGGGAAGTGGCCTGGTATGACCTTTCCAGCACCTGAGCTCTGAGCTCTCTCCCTTCCCTCTCTCCTGCTCTTTACATGGGAAGATTAGGCTGGATGACTCTTGGGTAGTTAGTTCTGTGTTTGACCAGTCTTTGGTTATTATCATCAAGTGCCTTTTTATAAAGTCTCTGTCCACGTGGCAGAACAAAGGATTAGTTACTGAAATGAGGTTCTGACACTCTCAGGACTTAGAATTAATGACCCTGAGAGTAACTGGTGTTTGTCAACAGATGAATTATAAATATGACAAACTCTTAGGCAGACAGTGGCCTCCTTCTCATGTGTGTGTGTGGTGTGTCCTCTAGAAGGCCTCAAAGCATCCTGGAATATTAGAGGTGGGAAGGACTGAAGAGTTTATGGCCTTTCCTCTACCTGACCCATGGGTGTTCTTTTATAGCTTTTTTTATAACATTTCTACCATCTATTTACTAGCCCCATTTTGATATATTCAGTGACATTCTGTTCCCTTTTGGGACATATTTTGTTAAGAAAATATGGATGTTCCTTATATTACACTGTAATCTATCTTCTTGTCACCTTCAGGGCCCTTTCCCTAGAACAGGGTAGAAGTTCCTCTTCCCTGAGGAGCTCAGATATTGCTGGAGCAGCTTCTTACTGTGCCCAGAGCTGGGGCTGCCGCACCTGCCTCACCGCCATCCCAGGCAGCCATCTGGTGGATGGTAAAGGAAGCTGGCTCCTTGAATATTTGTCATCCACCCACCCTCCGGAGTCTCCTCTGACCTCAGAGCACACCTCCCTCTCCCCTCCTACCCCCCACCCCAAGGCTTTTCACCTAGTAGTCTTTCTCCTCATTCACTCCCTCTTTATTTATATTTGACTATTTGATAAGATATTTGCAGAAGGCCCCAGTAGACTTAAATCATTTAGTAATGAAACAACATTTCATGATTTCCAATAACAGGACCCTTGATCAAGTACCTCTGCCCCTTTGTCTGTTTCTTTTAATGGCACACCACCTTCCCACTAACCTTGAAATCCTGAAATCTCAGAGTGGTGTTTCTCTCCTCCCGTTCCCTTTCTCTCACATCTAATGGGCGACAAGCCTTGCAAATTCTTACTTGTTCTCCCCCTATGACTTCAACCCCAGTTTCAGCCCTGGTGCGTCTTAGGCTTGCGTGTTGTGGTTATTCCTTCCTTCCTTCCCTTTTCACTTACTACCTCTGCAACTTTGGGTAAGTGCCTTGTTCCCTGTCAGTAAAGTGGGGCTGGTAGGAGTTGGGAGGGACAAGCAAGATACTACCTAGAGAGGGCTTAGAACAGAAGGCTCAGGCACGGAGTAAGTGCCATGGAAGGACGTGTCAGCTGTGAATATTATTGTTACTGGCCTCTCCAATCCTTTGCCACATGTACCATCCCCAAATGTTCCTTTCATCAGGCCCCACCCCTGCTCACAAGTCTGCTGTCCCTCCATGGTCTATTTAGCAGTAATCCCCAAAATGAGCACGATGAATTGCCAGATGATTCTAGCTCGAAATGTTTCCTCAGAGCTCCCTAGGCATTCTTTCTCAACGCTACTCATTTGACCCTGTTTTTTTCTATGCTGCATTGGGAACTTTTGCTCTGTGTATTTCTTGGCTCCATGGTTATTCTATGTTAATTCTCACAGGGATGTTCCTTTAAATTATATTTTACTTGCTGACTTTATTTTGAGCTGTTTGTCATTTTTCTCATTTATCTGGAGACACATACCTACACTTTTTGGATGACACTAATGTATTATTTTGTACCACAGTAGTATATAATTCTTTACTCTAAGGAAAAGATTCATTTGTTAATTTGTGATCTGAATCTCCTTGGGGTGGACAGCATGCTTCAGCTTAAGGCAGACATTTATCTACATTATGAACATTTTTTGTATGTGGATTCGTTGTTTTCTTTTGCACTGGGTGACCTAAAATCATAATCCTTGTGTTTAATGCCTTTATTTCAGCGCCTATAGTCCTGAGTTCTGCATGGCCTCCTGGGAAGGAGGCCATTCTAGTGAGGAAAGCTGGATGGTACACAGAACATATCCATGTGATCTGGGTTCCCCTCCTGAAATGCTGTAACGATGGCTGTGTCGTCAGCCAGGTCTCTTCAGTCTGTGTCTGTAGCTGCGCAATCATTGGCGCAACCATTGGTCTCGGAGTCAGAAGACACAGGTTTACATCTTGATTCCACCACTTGCTGGTTGTTTGGACTTGACCAAGTCATTTAACTTCGTCTCTAAAATAAGCTTAATAATCTGTACTTCACAGAATTATTATGAGGATTAGTTGAGATAGTGTCTATGAATGTGCTGGACACATCGGAGGTGATCAATTAATGTCTATTTAAAAGAAGAGGAAGTGGAAAAGAGCCTCCTCTGTCCTCTGTGAACCTTCTGATGCAGAGTATATTTTGGGGAGAAACAGACAGACAGTTTCAGAGAGTCCACCTGCCCGACTGACAAACTTCAGTTGGAGACTGAAGGCTGGACAATAGTCCGCCTGGTTTCTGGGCTTGTCTCTAATAGAATGTCTATGGCCTCCCCAGGGAGCATGAAGATTAATTAGTTAATCTTTGTAAAGTGCTTTGAAGGTGAAAAGTGCAACGTAAGTGGAATGGTTGAAATGCTATTGGAGATGTAATAATGGTAGCACCATATTCTGGCAGTCTTGCCTGTCTTGGACATCAATAATCAATAGCAGAGCAGGTTCTAAGATGTTTTTTACTTGATAAGAAAGGATTCGTTGTGGGATTTGTGATAACACATTTCTTTTTGTAATCTTGCAGATAGAAACTTGCCAGTTCTTCCCAGTAGAGGAATGCAATCAGTAACAGTCTCATCCTCAGGCTTCATGGGCATCTCCTTGCTAAGGTAGTCTGGTTGTCAGTCCTAGCCAGCTCAAGTGGAGAGACAGTTTGCCAGTTTGGGATGCTTTGTGGGTCCTGGGCACATGGGCTATTTGGTCTAATCCTGCAGAAGCTGAGGAAGAGTGTTATGTGGTTATCCAGTGGTGTGGACCACTGTGAATAACCAATGCAAAGTGGTACTATGGGCCAATAGGAGATGTGGCTTAGCCGTGTGACCCTGGGCTGGTCGCTTCTGTGAGCCTAATTTTCTCTCCTGTCAAATGGAACATAGTAATTGATGAGAACAATAATAAGGGTGACTCACAGGAGGGTGAATTTCACCCTTTCTGTGGAGAATTGAGGAGTCTAGAAAGGTTTCAAATTACTGGTGGTACATAAGCTGGACTCTAGAGATTGAGCCATAGTTTACCAGATGAATAATGTAAGGAAAGGCCGCCATGGCAGGAGGAACAGCACATTCAAAGCCATGAGATCGCACATCCGAATGGAGCCCCCCCAGTTCTTTTAATATACCCAGTACCCCATGAGCCTTTTCTCCCTCTTTGAGGAAGCTTGGGAGTCTGATTCCTGTGAACTCCTTGGCATCTGTGTTGGTGTCGGTGATCACATCAATCCTGAGAACTGTATCCCTGCAGAGCCCTGTACCCTGCAATATTCTGACATGTGCACCATGAGTCTGTGGTTGTTTTTTAGCTGACACTATAAACCGTATGTTGAATGTGGGGCCAGATGAAGCTTTGATACTAAACACAGAGTAAGTAGTAGATTTGTCTAGAATTTAATATGCATTACTTGATGTTTTGTCTCTTAAGCGAAATTTTTCTTTGTTAAAATAAACATGTATAAAGAATTTATACAGCGCACATGGTTATGCATATTTATTGCAGAGAATCTGTTAATAATCTATGCCTCATCAGATTTTGCATTTCTGTTGAAATAACAAATGCAGCACTTGGTACAACTGAATGAGTTTGGTGAATTTTCTCTTATCTGGGAGAAGAAAGGCCATTTCTCCTTTTCCAAATTTCATTTTCTTCTGTCGTCTTTAGCACTGGCCAGCTTCCCAGGTGGTGCATCTGGAGACTGAATGCTTTTCTGGCTCCCAGTGATTTTGTCCTTTTTTCTCTCTCCCTCCCTTCCCTCCAGCACACACAGACACTGGCCTTGGCACTGTTTGCGTTGCTCCTTTGGGTGAGAGCATAGCCTCCGAAAGGCCCTCTTATAATACACGGAGGGGAAAACATGTGAAACTGACTGTTAATTGAGCTCAGAGTAAGACCCTGAGATGTGGCACGGACAAGTCAGGAGGCTGGGGAACTTCGGGGTGGCTGACAGGATCCCTGGATGGAGTGAGAGAGAGGAAATCCTGAGGACAGACACCTGGGCCAAGCACAGGACAGTGTGAGGAGGGGAGAGGCTGTGGAGGCCATCCGGTGAGGTTGAAGTGTTGCCTGTGGTCATGTCCATATCTGTTAGAATGTAGGAGCAAGGCTTTAGAATCAGCCTCTGTTGGAATCCAACTGTGGTACTCACCACTTGTTTGATCTTGGGTGAGTCATTTCACCTCTCTGAACCTCAGTTCCCACAGCTGTGGAAATGGGAATTCTTGTGCTTTCTTTATAGGAAGATAGGCTCCTGGTACATTGTTGTTGGTACGAAAATAAATGTTCACACTTTCTCTTGTAATTCATTGCCTACCCATGAGAGCACAGCTGTGGAATGTAGCCTTAATTCAAATAATGTTTTATTTTAGAAACTGGCAAGGTGTTTACCTGGGGCCGTGCGGACTATGGTCAACTAGGGAGGAAGCTGGAGTCTCATGAAAACTGGAGACTGGACATGCAGGGTTTGTCTCTCCCCTGCCCGAGACCACAGAAGAGCACGCCTTCACCTCTGCATTGCTTAACGGGAGCTACTGAGGTAGGAAGTGACTTTCCATAGATGTCATGCATTCCTTTTCCCTATCTTTCAGTGAAATGTTTTTTGAGGGCCTACTGTGTGCTCATAGTCCAAGCATTATGGTAGGTTCCATGCAGGAATCTGAAGGGTCCTTGCCCTCACATTGTCTGTAGTTTAATATGGTAGAAAGGCAGTTACCCAGATAACTAAACCACAAGGCAGACTACGTAACTCCTTTAGAGAGGCTCAGAGTACTGTGGGTCCACTTCAAAGAATAAGAAATGAATTCCGGATACAGGAATTGGGTTGGGGGGATATGGCTTTGATTTGTGCCTGGGAGCATGGGTCAGACTTGAGCAAGCAGCTGTAAGAAGAGGAGGATTTTCAGCTGGGCACAACAGCTTGAGCAGAGTCACAGAGGAAGGAAAGTGAAGAAAGTGTGTGGTGACCACTGGTGGCTCAGTTTGGCTAGAGCATGGGGTGTCTGGGGGCGAAAATGAGGTGCTATCAGACAGTTTGGTGGGACCTGATCAAGGGGGGCCTTTAAGTCTGAGCTGAGGATGCTGTGCTTCTGTTTATATCTCCCAGTGTAGACAACACTGCGGTTCAGTTGCTTCTTCAGGCCCCTTTAGTTCCCTGAAATGTCTTGAATTTGTACATTTAAGGCTGAGTCTTAATTTCTCCAGGGTGTGTGTTTCTGGTACTAAATTTTACTTTACTGCTGTCCTTAAAAAAAAGAAAAGGCTAGGTTTTTGAGAAGAGTGAGGACGGCCACGCAGGAAATGTGCCTTTGAACCCAAGTTGGCTTAATGAAGGAATTCAGTCTTCATTCAGAGTCTGTCAAAAAATTAATAAGCTAGTGAGACTTCTGTAATTAGCATCAGACTAATTACAACCCTCTCCATACCTAGAGGGCTTCCCTTCCCCTGGGGCCCGCCTGGCCTCCTCCTTCCGGGTATGTAGGACGGCTCTCAATTTCTGCTGCACATCCCAGCCCTGGGCCTCTCGGGCCCTTCCTAAGTGCTGAGTTGATCTGTCTGTCTTTCTCTCTCTTTTTCTTTAATTGAAAAGGTACTAAACCACACCACAAAGACAATTTAGATGTGGTAATAATAATAATAAAACCATCCATAATCTTACCGGCCTAACACAACTGCATTCCTTTTTGCGTACACACATGTACATACTTACAAAGTTGTAGTGATAGCATTAATGGTGGTTTGTATTTGGTCTTCATTTATTTTGTCACAAATGCTTTGTTTTGTTTCCTCTTGGTCTTACAACATTATATGATCTGAAGGTTCTGGGGTTTTCCAAATCATTTTTTGAATGTTGGACATTTAGATTATGTCCTCCCCTGCTTTTTTTGTCACTATGATGGATTCTGCAGTGAATACCCTGTTGAACTGTTTCCTTCAGATACAGTATTGGGGATGAAATTGCTGGGGCAGAGGCCATGAGCATCTTGATGACTTCTGCTGTATTTCTGTAGGTTCTGTCTGAAAGGAGTCAACTCCCCCAGCAGGGAACGAGGGAATGCAGTGCAGTATTTAAGCTAGATTGTCTGCCTAGCGACTTAGTGTGCTGAGGGCTCGGTTCCTAGCGCTTTAGACTCCTCAGCTTTTCTTTGTCTTTCCCAGGACATTTGAGACTTTGTGATCAGGTAGCATAGCGGAGGCATAGAGGCCTCATGGATTTTTCTGAGTCTGGTTTTATTGGCAAGATGAGGGTAATAATACCGACCACGGAAGGACATTGACGAGGGTTACTCAGAAAGTCCTTGGCATGCAGCAGGCACCTGGTAATGGTTGATTCCTTTCTCTTCTTTCCTTTGAAGCGTTTTAATGCCCTATGCTGGCCATGATGTGTGGCTCTGTGACAGACATGGCCAGTGCAAACATACAGCCTGAGAGCCTGACAGTGAGGTGACTTATTTAGCTTCTTGCTGAGGCAATCTGAAGAGTCAACTTGCACCCTGAGCCCCTTAGCAGCTTCATTTCAGGGCTCCCCTCCCTCTCTGCTCCAGTCTCTGGGGTGCTAGTGTGTATACACTCAGGTCTCACTGCAGAGTCAGACTCCAGGCTGTTTCCTGCTGGGAAGGTGAGTCTGGGAATTCTCTCTGGCTGTTGATGTCTGGGTCTGACCTGTCAGGCATCTATTTGCCTGAGGTGTAGAGCCAGGCCAGGGGCAGCTGGAAGTTGCTAGGAGTGGGTTCACCATGGAAAAGATGACAGCCATGCTAAACTAGGCGCTGCCTTGGTCAGGGGCTTGGCCGGGGAGGTGGAGGGACACCTGGGGAGACAGGAACAGCCTCAAACTAAGCTGATGATTCCTGACCTTCAAGGAATTGAGTGTGGCCTGTAGCTGACCAATTGCCTTATCTGTCCAAGGGATAAGCAGAGGGAGGAATGAGCTGTCTGGGCTGGGACCTCAGGTAGGATGTCTGCCCAGAAGAGTCTGGAGGGACAGCCAAGCAGGAGGGGAAAGCACAGGTAGATGGAAGTGGACTGTGGTATAACCATCCCTTCCCATGAGCAAAGGAAAGCAAATCAGCACAATTACTTAGTGCTTATTATGGGCCAGGCAGTGTGCTAAATGCTTTACATCTATTGTTTCATCTTCATAATGAGCATGGGCACAGGTATTATAATCATTGCTTTATGTACAAGGAAACCAAGGTCAGAGTGGGTGAGTCACTGGCCCCAGATTGCACAGCAGGTAAACAGTGGGGCTGGGGCTTGGACTTGAGTACTTGAAGCTCACATACTTCCTGTATAGACAACGTAAAATTGCTTATGTCCTTTTGCATGTGTGCCCTTAGCTGGATGAAAGTTCTAGAAGTCTGGGAGTCAGGGTCTCTGGTTCCCTGAGAGTCTCAATTCTTTTCTTTTGAGCTGTGTCTCACATTTAGCCTGAGAAAGACTTTGAGATTTTAGACCTGCTGGGCCTTCCTTTAATGTTCATACACTGGTGAAAACTAGGTTTTTCCTGCATTATGTATATGAAACTTGTGTATTTAAGCTTTACCTTAGATACTGGGTCTCTCTAGCCACTCCGGGAAAATTCCAGGGGTAGCACAGCAGTTGGGATTAATCCCTTCAAGCACGTGTCAGGGCAGGGTGTGTATGAGCAATTTTGTTTGCTTCTTAGCACTAAACGTATTCCACAGCAGCTTTTTGCTTTCTAAGCCCCAGGTGGGGATGTTCCCTGCACATTTCCTGTGGAACGTTGGCTCTGGACTCTGTCCAAAGGTGGAAGCATTCACAACTAGGCAGAAGTGCTTATGCTCACTTAGTGGGGACACTGGGGCCTCCCCAGGATTCTGAAGCAGCTAGAATTGGGCACCTGGTATGTAAGTGTAACCGGCAGGAAACCTACTTGACTGAAGGTCAACAGCCCTTGGGAGACAAGAACTAGATGGGAGTCAGAAAGCCTGGGTTCGAGCTTTGGTTCTGCCCGGCTGAGTGAGTTTGTGCAAGCCCCTTTTCCTCCTGGACCTTCTATTCCCCCAGGATGTTAGAGCAGATGATTCCTAATGTTTCCTATAGATCTAAGAGTCCTTTCCATCTCTGATTCCATTTCATGGAAATGATCACTACTTAAATGTGTAATGGCTCCTGTCTCTGGAGTCCCTCAGTGTTATAGCCAAGTCACTTAACTCCCAGCTTCTGGCTCCACCCTGGCAGACCTGGGAATGTTAACTTATCTGGAAGTTCCAGGCTTCACTACCGTTTCAGCCTTGCTCTCCTTCTTTGCCTTGGCTCTGTTCTCTGCCCTTCGTCCTTGTCCCCAAGCCCTGTTGTTCCCTTCTAGTTCACTGGTACTTAGTATGAGGCTCCTACTCCTTGGTGCCTGGACCTCAGTATGGTCCCCCTGCTCCCTGTTCAATCCCTCATTTTTTTCAGGACCTCCCAGGTTTGGCTTTGATTCTCGTCCCTGTGGCTGTGCCCTTAGTGCCAGGGCAGGCAGACCTGGTGACACTACCTTCCTGGATTCCCTGCCTGACAGCCCCTCTGCTGGCTCTGTCTGTGCCATCCCAACTTTTCTGCTCTCTTGCCGTACCTCCTTCTTGGCTTTGGGCTCTTGCCCATTCCATAGTCAACCCAGTAAACATTAGTTGACACCTGCTGTGTGCCTGCATCAGCCACATAGTGGTGGTGCGTGGGGAAGTGGTTACAAAGATAAGGAATACATGATCTTTGCTGTCAGAGAACTTCCAGGAACCTAGATAGATAAATCCTTACCGTACAGAGTGAAAAAGTGCTATGAGAGGTATGTATAAAAGGCCAAGGGCTCAGTAAAGATGGAATGATTTATTCTGAAGTCACTAACAGAAAAGAAGTGTTGTTTGAAGTAGGTTCTTAAACATGTAGGAGTTTAGCAAAGGTGAAAGGACATTCCAGGAAGACGGAGCACAACAAGCACTAAAACTGTGAATCCAGGTCCGTGTTTAACTCCTGGTGCAGTTGGGATGCCTGTGTGTTCCAGTGGTCTGGTCTGGCTGCCTGTCTAGCCTGCCCCATCACTGCCATCCCTCCTTCTGATAGGAGTATGATCTGAAGGAAAATAACTTCCACACACGTTATCTCATTTGATCCAAGTGTAATGCTATGAAATAAGGCAGAAGGGGGATAATTATCATTTTCTAATTGAGGAAACTGAGGCCCAGAGAGGCTAGCTAGGAATTAGGAAAAGACACAAGACAAAAAGCCTGAATCCCAGTGTTTCTGAGGGCCTTGCTCTGGGCTCAGTCTGCAGCCATCGTCCTGAGTCATGTTCCTGGTTTAAATTCTGCCCACGTTTGGTTGAGGAGCACCAAATGCCAGTGAGGGAGCTCGGTGTGCACGTGCACGTGTGTGCACACGCACAGCCAGTGGAGCAGAAGCGGGAAACGTGGCAATAAACAAGAGCTGAACCAGAGACAGGGTAATTCTCATGCCCAGATGCCATCAGCCCTCATTTTGCTGCAGGACTAAAACTGTTTGTTAGAGGATCAACCTGTGCACAGGGTCTCAGTGAAA